ACTTAAAAAATGAGAAACATTGTTGTGACAAGCACTCAAGATCACTTAAGAAAGTTTGGACTATACATGTAAAACAACCGATTTAAAACGTAAATAAAATGTTGCCGTTTTAAACCCCAAATAAATCTTATTAAACGGTTGAAAACTCGCATACTAAAATAAAAGAACCGTGTTTTACACTTCATTATAATGTCGTCCGTCTTTTCAATAGAGCTGTTATAACTTAGGTTGATAGTACCTGCGGTCTACAGTCGGCCGGACCAACTAGAACTAAACCCGCTAAGTATATCAATATCAGTATATCACACATTTAAAAAACCTTTACACAGTTTACAGGTACTCCGTCGTATCCCTACCTCGGTAAACCAAAACAATGTAGTTGTAATTAAGAAAAACATAGTCATCAACACCAAGCGTTTTAAATCGATAAAAATGGTTTATTTCAGTTTTAAACGTTTTCTTTTTCTTTTAAACTGATTGGTTTAATTGGCCTTACATCTATCTTTTATACGTTAAAAGTAGCTTAAGGTACCTACAGAAATGTGTGATGATTTAAATAGAAAATAAGACTAATTTTAAGCTTTCATTAACACGACAATGTCTGTTGAATTAGATTATATATACCTCCGTTTTGTTTTGGTACATGTGCTCACGTCTTTTATCGCCAAAGGGGTAGACAGAGACGTATTTAAACTACCATTACTACTGTGTAATTAACGTACCTACTATTACGCCTATGGGGCAAACCTATGGCCGTCAACCGCAACCATGTATTTCTAAATATATACAATTTATAAATAAATCACACACATAAATGAAACAACGTCATATAATATTTGTCCTGAGTGGCCATCAGGGCTATCTACGGTGACTGATAAAGAATACGAAATGTCACCACCAAATTCATCCCGTGAGTGTCGTAAGACCCGATTAAGAGAGCAAACTACACAGGACAACAGCACTGCAAACCCTTCTCCCCAAAGTGGTATAGTAGGCCAAAACCTAACCTTTCTTAGGAAAAGCCTATGTCCTGCAGTAAAATATTAAAGGCAGTCGATGTGATGTGATGTGATGTTGACTAATCAGTCAGGATCGCTAGCCAGAAAAACAGAAAACATATAAAACTTCAATTTTAATAAAGTAGGTACATCATGACCATTATTATAGCAAAAGACAATAGCAGAAGGTTTAGAACTAATCCTCCAAAAAATTTGGTAAGTGATGTTCAGCGGTGATTCAGACATTTTTTTTACATTTAAGAGATGTTTGAAATATTGAAACAAATGGTAGTTAGACGGTGCATGGTCCGGGCTACACGCTTGATTCATAGTAACTTCCTAATCAAATTCCATTAATTTGTTTCGTGTCATCAAATTGTGTGGCTTTGTTCAAAGGTTCGAGTCTAGCGCAGGATCTAATTGATGGTTTCGAAAGGTTTCGGCAGCTTTTTACCGACAATCCAGGCGTTAAAGTTATTTGTTCGCCTTTGACCATGATTGTTTCCTTTGATGTTCACCAACCCATCTAGCCAGCGTGGTATAGTCTATGTCCAGTAATGGACTATTAAAGGATGTGTATGTAGTGTGATTGTGATATGAAGCATCCCATAGCGTAGGCATCTCTTCATAAATTTTACCTATCCATTTCGAAATCAATTTAACTTTCTCCATCTTCAACGAGTTATGCTATCTTTATTTTAGTGTTTTATGGATTATATTTTGAGTGTAAAATCAAGGGTTTCGAGAGATACGTTTAGAAATTTATTGATCGGTGATAAATAAATGAAAAACTAACAATGTTCACACAAAATTTAAGCTAAAATTGTACTTTTTGATCACACTCTATGCATTAACACTACCCGGTGGCAAAAAACCGCATAGACTTTTGGTTTGACCGATTATATTGTTATTGTATTGGTATCAGATAAATTATTTGTTAAGCTTAGGTATAGGTGGATGTCGCAGTCAAATTCAGAGTTAATCAATTTTATTACATAGATACTCGACGTACCCGTCACAGTTAATAATTATTTTAAGCGGATCCCTTTTTTTCTTTCAATAAAAATAGGAAACGCAATTGTAGCAGCATTTCCTTTTATAGGAAAATCATACGTCGAAAACCTAAAACGTTGATTACTGCACCTTAGATAGATACAAGATATCTGTTTTTTGTTATTTTGCTTCGCTTTTGTTATTTAAGCCTTATGGTCTGCGAGTGTAATAATTGTGGAACCCCCAAACAATGATTTTATATATGTATACAAAAATATCATTGCCCCTGAAGACAACTTTGCCTTACTTTATAATACAAAAAATCCTAAGCATGAGCGGCTTAGGTTGCGATACATTCCATTTCTAAACGCTTAAAAATACCCATATTCACAAACGCAAACCGATGTGACTTATAAACATTATGAACAAGTTTAGTGCCATACAAAGGATTGTTGAATGAGTCAATAGAGAATGACTAAGCAGATATCTACTTAAAAGTAGGTATCAAGTAGTTGATTGTATCTTACTAGGTATTAAACTTGTCTAACTTTAATTTTTACTTATCCATTTATCTTTATTTTATTTCAAGATTCAATTCTAGAATCGAACCCGTCTGGCCAGCGTGGTATGGTAGGCCAAATGTTTATGATTTAATTTAGGAATATGATTGTACGAGTTATTTACTTGTACCTTGAACTAGTTTTTGTAAGTCGGATAATGTGCGCCTTAATTATGACGATCAGTTTGCTTAATAACCATTTAAAAGCAGGTCATCTAAAAGCAATCGGTACAAGGCTTATTTTTGAGTTGCTAGTTCTGGTAGCCACATGGTCTTTATCATTGGTTAAATTTCACGAAATGGTATTTTCCGAGACTCGAATTTTACCAGTTATTATCAAAATTCCCTAATCGTGATAGGGATTGGAAATATTCTCTAGATTTTGCCAGGATCTATCGTCATATCCTAACTTATCGACCTAAGTAATCTACCCAGAAACCATACTCTTTCACACAAAAAACCGTTGTAATAATAGAAGACCATACATTAAAAATACATTTTATGCATTAAGAACTCCTTTACTTGAAGTCTTTTAAAATGTACATAAATTAGAAGGAAAGTTATGATTTGAAAGTAGATAAAGTAAAAATCTCATGATAAAGTCAAAACTAAAGTAAGCGTAAAAGCAATTGCTAGTGTTAAAAAGTCGACACAAAGGTTAATGACCTCGACGTCGTGGTCGTAGGTTCAATCCTCACTCAGTGCATTTACTCATATGATTAATTAAATTAGTAAATGATTTATATAATTACAAAGATATATATTAATATATCTTCATCTATATCTATAACACATCACACAAAACAACCTAATAGTATGTTTTGTTGTCATACAGATACTATAAAACAGATACTTTTAATTTGACTGACTTGTAGTAAGTAGGCCACACTATTATAATACTCTAATAATATATCATAATATGATAGTAAAATTATGACCTAAATACATTTTGTTAGTATCAAAATAAAAACGAAATGACATTTTTATTATTTATTAATATAAAATTAAAAGCAACCATTATTACAGCATACATCGTTTGTTACCTTCTTTTAACTAACTAGATCTTAATTTATGTTTTGTTGTAGGTAATTTAACTATACTATGATAATAAAATATGTAATTTAAAAACAATGTGAGAATCAAAATAATCACAAATTTCAAATGAAAGCATTTAACTAAAAGGCAAGGTCATTTGGTTGAACATAATAAGGAGGTTTTTAATATAAAGATTAATATCATGTGTTTATGTAATGATTACATGGACTTCATGGTACAATGCTTACATTATTCAGTTGCAAGTGACATGTATCCAAATGGTGTTCATTACCTAACATCTAAAAAGCTGATTTATTATTCTTTAGGCTTTGCTTTAGCTGCTTTATCCTAACATGTAACATGAGTATTCCTAAGAATCAAGTAACATGACCTTATCATTTCCTTTGTCTGTTTACATGTAGGTCTATTTTTTTTTTTAGCATATAGTTTTTGTTCTCATAACCCATTGGTTATAATGAATAGTGCTATTTAATAACATGTTACGATTAACTACTTATAAACTAATGTAAAATCCAAATATATACAGAAATGTTTATTGTATAAACTTCATGCAAATATACTGTTTTCTATATGTAACCCAATTTATGGATGACAGAGTACAATGATGAAGCCACAGTAGTCAAATTTCGACATCACACTGTGTGTTTAAAAACTGTAACCAAATTAGCAACTGATCAAATAACAATTAACAATTTTATTTAACAGAATTCAAGTTAATGTATCACATTTCTATATCATTCATATTTCTTTTTTGTTAAGATAGCCAGTTAACAAAATAGATTTGTAGCAATAGTCTACATAAGATAAAATCAGGTGTCTTGGGTCATCCAATACAGTGCTTATTCCAACTAATAGTTCAAATTTGTTTCATGTAAACAATTTATATCTCAGAATGTTTTATTTATAACAAAAGACCTGCATGTACCATAATACTTAAATGAGAATTGAAGACATGAATAAACAATTTTAAAACTTTGACCCAAAGTTTTAGTAACATCTATATATCGCCTGTTTTAGAAGTATAATTTATCATGACAAGCCACAATAAAGCACTCTGGCTGATTATGTAAAAAATTCATAGAATGTAATTCTTCTTATTTTCAATTTTAGGAGCAGCAGACTGTTATAATAATATTGTTGTACTTACACAAAAAAACATAAGTTCAAAATAAACTTATATTTATAATAGTGCATAAATTTTTATCAAATTTGACAAGTGACAATAGTGAGAAACAAATACATTCTTTAAAGCGTGTGGTATACAATATATTTATACATTTTTACATGATATAAAAGGAAACATTACTTACAGAATATTATTTTACTTTAATGTATGTTTACTTTATATAATCTGACCTAATAAATTGCCATCACTGAAGCATAATTCTTAAGGCCTAGCAAGCACAGTTGTCACCATCTCTGTTACGGCCATTGTCATTGGCGTTAAGCTTGATTTGATCAGGAAATTCATTGTAGAGTTCAGCTTCTGTTTCCTGAGCTAGGGCATTTCGAGCTATAGTCTGGAATGCGAGCTCCACGTTCACTGCCTCTTTGGCACTTGTTTCAAAGTACGGTATGTCATTTTTACTTTGACACCACTGTTGTGCTCGCTTAGCAGACACGGCACGATTGTCCAAGTCAACTTTATTGCCCAATATCACGAATGGAAAGTTATCAGGGTCTCGAGGAGAAGCTTGTATCAAGAATTCGTCTCTCCAACTCTCCAAGGACTTGAATGTGTTGGGGGCAGTTACGTCAAATACTAAGACGCAACAATCCGCCCCGCGATAAAAAGCCATTCCCAAGGATTGGAAGCGCTCCTGTCCAGCTGTATCCCATATTTGTATCGTAACGATTCGGTCATCTACAATTACCTCTTTCGTGAGAAAATCTGCGCCTATTGTCGCTTTATACTGGTTGGAAAATTTCTTGTTGACAAACTGATTCATAAGCGATGTCTTGCCTACACCGCTATCACCGAGGATGATCACCTTCAGAAGTACCTTTTTTCTCGACGACATTTTACACAAAAATTTATAGAAACGTGGAAAATTACTAAATTATCACACTCTTTGTCTACACTTTTGACATAAAACGAAATTGATAAATGCGTCACCTGTTTTTCGTAGCTGATACAATAAATCGGGAGCCTTTTGATGTTGCCAGATGTTTTGCATTCAAATGTTTTGCTTCATTTCATTGGGGTGGGTTACTTTAGACTGCCGTAAAATCAGCACAATTTCTCACATGTTGGCAAGCTAGTGGGCTAAATCTGAATATTTTTTTCTGCCCTCAAGAGATTGTCTTTGGAAGTGGTGTGGTGGTGATATAAACAATTATTATATTTTATTTATTATTATTTATTTAATAATCAGACAATCACTGCTTAATCGGGTTATTATTATTACTCTAAAAATAACTATTGAACATTGTCACATCAGCTTATCGCAGTCCACTGCTGAATACAGGCCTCTCTTCAATTCGGTAAATCGGTAATCTGCTAGTCTTAGTAATACTTTACTACGAAAATAGTTAATCGGAACTAAATTGAGCCCGAACTTTTATTACGAGAATTGGGCTTCAGTTTAAAAATGATTTCCTGGACATTCATAGCACTAACAAATAAATATAGGATATCATACGTCATAATTATGAATCAAGTTAAACAAATTAAGAAATATCGATGTTTGAAGTAAAACTTATTTTCGCTCGCTTGACTTGGGGAGTAAGATGGTGAATGCGTGACAAGAGCGTTACGAAGAGTGTGATCGGGCTAACGAACGGAAGTTGAGAGGAAGATATAAGTTAGTGAAGATAGAAAGAGAGAGATTACTGTAGGGGCAAGAGAGAGAGGTGCGAGCACACATTTTCTTTCTCTCATGTTCATGAAGTTTTACTTCTGTCGTGTGGTCTAAACACACACTCGTTAATACTAAACTCACTAGTTTTTTTATGCGTGATATGTTTTAATTGTATTTCATCATTTGATCAATTGTATAATACTTATTTATCACTTTACTATTACTACTTATCCTACTCATTCTTTATTCTATCTTTCCTCCATCTAAAGGAAACATTCACAATTCACATTCACAGCACACGAATGACATAAATTTTAGTTCATTCATGGACGTTTGATTGGGTTGTCCGTAGTGATTTCTGTGATTCATGAATTTTACAGAAATTAATATTATATTTTCATTATTTATTTTTCGCTTTTCTAAGTGTAGAATGAGAAAATACTAAAAGTGATGATTTCCTAATCAAGTTCTACTATAAAAATATAAAGTTCGTTTAACCGCTAGGTAAAGGTGAGGGTTAGATCATGTTGTTGAGGTGATCCGTTAAAACTGTACTAGTTGTGACTTTGATCTAAACGTTAATCACTTTCAGATGGAGAATAATCTTAGCCGAAGCGGCAGCCGATCGAGCTCCGTATGTGAGCTGGAAAAAGATTTTAACGATATGGAAATTATAAAATCTAGGACGAACCGACGCAACGTATTGCTGCGAACGCCAGCCGCGCGGAAAGCTAAACGAGTCAGATTTTTTAGAAATGGTGATAAATTCTATTCGGGTGTAATTATTCCAGTCTTGCCAGAAAGATACAGGTGTGTAATAAACCCATTTACAGATTACATTTAACGAGTTTTAGATGTAGTTAGAATATGACTAGACTTTCACTTTCATACATACTTACCCGTATTCCAATGGAACTATTATAGTATTTACGCAACTATAGTGTAGCATATTGATTCTAGGTATTATTGCTAGTATCAGGTTTAGTACACATCTAATGTTTTCCCTATCTTAATTATAGTTACAAATAAAACGAATTTCTATTTAACAGCTGTTATCTTATACTTAATTACATTATTACAAAATTACCTAATTATGGTTATTTTATAGAAATGTAAAGTTATGTATATTTGTAGATATACTTCCTGAAAAAGTACTTGACCAATATCAAGTTTATATATAAACTAGCTTAGTCCTAGCTATCTCTGTTTTACTTCTTAGGGGATACAAAAAAAAATTACCTGAGACGGCGTGCGGTTTTAGTCGGTCTGACAAGCATCCGATAGGTGGTATCCGGTGGGATTTCCGCACGCAAAAAAAAAAGAAAAAAAGGGATACAAAATTAACCCTTAATCTACAAATAGTAGGACAGTATACAATATGGTGTATTATTACAGGGTTTGTCTATAGCATAATGATTAAAAATATAAATTGTAATTATTAAATTCATATTTCAATATTCTAGATTTATAAACATCTATAAATTGCCATATGCTGTTTATTTGAAATGCATTTAATGTACTATGCAACCAGTATACTATCAAGGTTGTACAGGATGCTATGATAATTAGCTGATTGTAAGTGGCCATTCCTTCCCTTGATGTATAAATACCCTACTGAAATTATTTTAAATGAATACTCATTACTGCCCAAAGAGGATGGCCCACTCATTGTTAGCTTTTCCATTATCAGTATGCTTTTCTTTGACAACAATGAACACTACAGAAATAAAATAAAATAATAAAGTAGTGAACCAAATTTAATTGGCTTAGTATAAATGTGTATATAATCTTAATAAAATAGAATAAAAAGTTAATTAAATAGAATAAAAAGTTTTGAAAGTTCTAAGTTTTTGCTCAGAACTTAAATAAAAGACATGAAAATATTCTGTTTACAGATCTTTTGATAGTCTCACAGCAGATTTAACAAGGGCTTTAGTTGATAATGTAACTCTGCCTAGTGGTGTAAGAACAATATATTCACTTGAGGGTAGAAAAGTAAGTACTATGGTATTTATGTTGTGTTTACTACGTTCTTGTTCTTCTAAAATATTAGAATATTTAATTTTCAGATAGGCAAATTGGATGATCTAGAAGATGGCCAATCTTATGTCTGTAGTGGATTTGGTGAGCCTTTCAAGCGACTAGATTATGAAGCCAGTGCAGTTACACCTCAATCATTCAGACTTAGTGGTCCAGAGTCTTTGAGTGATAGTTCAAGTCCATCCCCAGCGAGAGCAAATAACAGATTGTCACGATATTTGCAGGTTGAGTATCTTGTTGCATTAATATGTATTTATTTTATGAATTTGTTTAGGTTGGAAATAATTTTCTTGTTATGATTAGTTATTGTAGAATAACTAGGTACTTAAAGGTTATCTAAATAACAAGATGAGCATGTTTATCAGTAAGAATTGTGACTCATTTGTGTGTTCCATAGTTTATAATAATTTTTTTATCTCACATGTTTTTATGATAACTGAAAACATAGAAAGGAGAACTCTAAATTATATTTTTGCAGGCAAATGGTAGTAGTACTCCTGGTAATGGAACAGCAAGAGTCAGTCCTGCCGGGGATAATGTAGTCCGACCACGCATTGTTACTATTATCCGAAATGGAGTCAAACCAAGAAAGGTAATATATACTTAAACAAATTAAATTAAAATAAAATAATAAATAATAATAATAATTTCACACATCTCACACACGGCCGTCTGATCCCAAACTAGGCAGAGCCTGTACTATGGTAATCAGACTGCTGATAAACATACTTATATATTTCTAAATACATACATAATATAGATAAATTACACCCAGACACAGAACAAATGATCGTGCTCATCAATTAAATCAATGATGTAAAAAAAAATCGAGTGATAAATTTAACAACCTTATTAAACACTAAAGTGAAACTGTCAATTATATGTTTAAGTAAGTGTAGTCTGCTCTTATTGTTCAATGGCAAACTTAAGTGTGTAACCATTTGTACTTATAAGAACATGAACTATGAAGTGATTTATGAAATAACAAGAAACTCAGTCATGCATTTTAAGAAAAAGTACAGAGCAAGATACTAATAATATCATAATTTACAGGTCTGCAGATTATTACTTAATAAACGCAATAGCCCCACACTGGAGCATGCGTTGGCTGCTATCACAGAGTGTGTTAAATTAGATACAGGCTGTGTTCGTAAAGTTTTCACTAGAACAGGCAGTGCCGTCACAGCTTTATATCAGTTCTTTGATGCGGAAGACGTATTCTTTGCTTATGGGAATGAAAGGTACTTCAAGTAATGTTAATAACTTTACTGTTTATTGTAAAACATCGATTTTATAGTAAAAATTTCTTTGTCGCCATCTAGGGTCAACCAAGAAGATTTTGAATTAGAATTTGAAGAAAATAAAGCTGTACTGCAATGCAGAAAAACCCCTATATCTAGAAATTCAAGGTAAGTGGTTATATAACAATAAAAATAAACTTACATTATACTAAATCATGCTTACTTTTAAGATTGTGTTATTTATTTGCTTAATTTATAAATAGGAGTGGTCCCAAACCTCGAATGCCGGTAAAAGCAGGCGGTGGAGCAGCACGAGCAGCCAGTGAGGCGGGAGCGGGCGCTGCTGGAGATAACGCAGATGAAAACAGCGGGCCACTGTTACCACAACCATTGCGCCTAAAGTACAGCGTCGGTAGAATCATTGGTATGTATATTACTTGCTTTTAAACCTATTCAAAAATATTCTTACTATATTTTTGTCCACCATTCTGATTATCAATTTTTTTGTTGTTTACAGGTGACGGTAACTTCGCTGTCGTAAGAATATGTAAAGATAAGACTACGGCAAAGGAGTATGCCCTCAAAATTATTGACAAAGCCAAATGCAAAGGAAAAGAACATTATGTGGAAGCAGAGGTAAGAATTCAATACTTCAATTCAAGCTTTCATAGGAAACAATCATTTCTTGGAACCTAATTGGTCAGGGGACGGAATTTGATCGATGCCTTGCTACTTTCATTAACGTGAATGGACTATAGGGTCATTCATTTGTATAGGTTCATTTTAAAATATTTTTGAAAATGACTTTTATATCTTATTTGTGACGATGATTTAACTCTGCAGGTCCGAGTAATGAGAAAGTTATGCCATCCACGAATTGTATCACTCATCGAGGAACAAGACAGTCCTGAGTGGCTCTTCCTTATTATGGAATTAGTCAGTGGTGTGTATTTATTCAGTTTTACCTGTAATAGATCATTTCATCATTAACAATACTTAAATTATTATCCTTAATGATACATGGCTTTATTTTACTCGTACCACTTGTACCCTATTTGTATTTCTAGGTGGAGACTTGTTTGATAGTATTGCGGCCGCTTCCAAATTCTCTGAGCCCCAAGCGCGTTTGCTAATCGGCCACTTAACATCCGCTATCGCATATCTACACTCGCTTTCTATAGTGCATCGTGACATCAAACCCGAAAATTTATTGGTAAGAGTGTAATACTAACCCACATAAGTAAAAAGACTTGTACAGATTTCATCTCAGTAAGACATATACAGATTTCATCTCAGTCATTCTATTAATTTAAATTTGAATAGATCATTGTTTGCCCGATCATTTGATAAACTATTTATTCTATTTCATTGCCTACATCATAATCATAACATTGCAGAATGTAACACAGTTTTAAGTCTTGTAATAAATATAAATTATAAAATTTTAACCCTATTCTCAAACAGAGTATTATGAGGCCTCATTGCCCAGTTATGAGGTCTCTGATTGCTGGGGAAATGCATCATGTTATCCTATTCATTAAAGAGGGCTTGTTGACTCTATGCATTTGTTGGTCCTTGCAGTCTTAGTAAAAATATATAAATTGGGAAACAACCATAAATGTGCTAATGCAATTACATTGCATCTAAAATGTTTAAATAACTTTTTTTCGGTGATACTTTTTAAAGGTGGAGGTAGGTTCAGATGGCAGTATACGCGGGTTAAAGCTGGCTGACTTTGGACTAGCGGTGGAAGTCTGGAGACCCCTTCACGCCGTTTGTGGTACGCCCACTTACGTTGCGCCCGAAATACTGCTAGAAACTGGATATGGCTTAAAGGTATTAAATATTTTATTAATTTCGTAAACTACTGTTATTCAAACTGATTATGCACGGAAGAGCATATCCACTACTGTTAATAAAACATATAATTACTATATTAGCGCTGATAGACAAATGTTAAGAACAAAAACTTTACATATTCTAACGTTTTTTACAAACCACTGAAATAGTATGGTGCATATCTAAATCAAAATCCTTTCATGTGTACTACTACCAATGATATTATATACAAACAAAAGGTAGATACCACGCACATAACGCGAGTGGCCTGATTACGAGCGATGATATACGAGCGAGCGCACGTACTAATTAATTCGAGAAAATTCGTAAAATTCCATCATGTATATTCTGAAAGTGAACAAATTACGACTAAAAAGTAAATAAAGATAAAAGAATATCATAATAGCACAGGTACATGTTTTGTTCTAATAGATGTATTAACGGTAACGGAACAAATATTTTGGGCATGCAGTGTGATTATAACGTATCTTTCTTAAAATATCATTGGCCACTACTGTATCATCCTCCTAAAATCAATCATCCTACTTAGGGCCATGAACCCCTCCTATCTTAGATCTAGTTAGTATAATTTCAAGTAGGTAATTCATAAGGAGATTGTCGTGTCACCTGACTACACAAAAATGACCTCCTCCCCCCTAAGTTATAAAATGGATCCGCTTCTGTTCAGAACGTATAGATTACGTAATATTAAGGTAAGGTAATTTCCGAAAAGTTAATAATCAGTTGTACATATACGAATCAAAAGGTCAATTCTCCTAACAAAAGTTTGGTCATTATTCAGTTCTGATTAACTCTCGATCTTGCGTAAAATAGTAAAGTATTACTGAGAGATAACTGAATTAATTTTCTATTACAATACGATATAATCACATTACAGTCAATATTGGTATACTCTACTACCAAAATACCTTTTATGACAATTGTGGTATGTATGCAACATTTATTACGAGAATTGGGCTTCTGTACACCATTCTCTGGGGACCGTTTTACTTTGGTGTTACAAGCCTGGGAAGACCTTTTCACATCTGGTTTACGTACAAATTCATAAACCAATGAATATCCTTACGGGCTTACGTATGCTTCACCAAAGTTACATTGTACATCCTGTAAATTAAACGATTAGTAGAACACTTTGTTGAACCGTAAAGTACAACACAAACATAATACATAAACATGTTTGCTTACATCAGAAGCGTATTATGTTACAAACTCGATTGTTTTACATTGAAGCTGATGACGTAATAAATGTCATTACGAACACAAAGATTAGAAACTTTCTCACAATGATCTTTTTAGTTTATTTAAGAGAATGAGTGTGTGAAAAACTTGAATTTTACCCTGTTAAATACATCATCTTCACAAAGGAAGGTTCTTGGTGCAGCCTTAACTAATAAATAAACCCTGGGTGAGTTAGGCCTAACAGGAGATGAGTGGTAGACTTCGTTTACGGATTATTTTAGAGTTTGTCAATCAGTCCACTACTTTACTGTACCCTTTCTAATTCGAATCAACTACTAGTACTAGTGCTACTTTTCTTTTCCGAGATTCACTATAAAGAAGCAATACACAAGCACACCATTACCATTTATCCTAAAATATTAGGAAGGAGGTTTTATAGAGGTGGTGACTCTCCGTATTCTTAATCCGTCACCACACGGATAAGGTACTTCAATAAAATGTAATAAATGAAAAAAAAACCGTACAAAACTTATACGACTTACTTTCTGTGTTGTTATTACTTAATTTTTTAATTAATAGATCGACGTATGGGCTGCAGGAGTTATTCTATACATCTTACTATGCGGATTCCCGCCGTTCTCCTCCCCGGACGGTGACCAAGAGAAACTCTTTGATGCTATATTATCAGCTAGACTGGAATTCCCCGCCCCACACTGGGAGCGAGTATCGGCGGGTGCTATTGACCTAGTCGCCAACATGCTGCGCCCGCAACCCGAACTACGTTTTGCTGCAGAGGATGTGCTCGACCACGCCTGGATGGCGGTTAGTTTATGATTAATTTAATTCATGTAATAACATCACATCATTAAAACCTTTAATATGTTAATACTCATATTGAAATCGAACTTATTAGAGGGCCCGGACTTCATAGCAACTCTGTTTTCTAACCATTACTTTTCTTTATCTACAATCGGTTGCGATAGAAGAATTCTTCTTTGTGCGCAATTAGTTCGGAGAAAGCAATGTAAGCAATCAAACAAAGTGCGCGTAAAAACCTGGCTAAAAACTCAAAAAAGCTTAACTTCTTCCTAATAAAATCAATAAAAACCTACCATGAAATAAAATAAAATATATTGCAAATCATTTTAAGGCAGCATCACATACTTACTTTTTGGATCATCCATTGCTAAATCCATTTTTTTAAATTATTCCTTCATTTTTTAAAGGTTCCATAGTAGGACTATGGAACCTTTAAAAAATGAAGGAATAATTTAAAAAAATGGATGGACAAGAAGAGTTTTGCCATGTTATGCTATAATTTTACACGGGCATATATATTAATAACGCCGACAAAGTGGTAAATTAAAATCTTGAAAAACAATTTTAGGAGACATTTGGTAGACGTATAAAATGAACTTATTTTAACAAGAGGAGCGAATTCCGCTCGCATGCGCATCGCATCCGGCGCATGCCAGTACGATACGTCGTAACTCGTACATTTTTTCTTCGTTATAGCTGCGACTCTTTATCGAAACCGAAGTCAGAATCAGAGACATTCGGTCTTCTCGGAACCGAAGTCGAATATCCGCGTCATCCCTAGTATAGACCGAGTAGTAAATAGAGTTAACTGGAACATGTATTGTCCACAGGATGACTATGACGAAAGCTGCGACTTTCGCACATGGTACGACGAGGACTCGTCATAGCTGGGCGAGTTTCGCCGCCAATCGGTGTCGGCACCTTGACAACGCGTTATCGGCGAAGCCGAGACTCGACCTCTTTTCAATCTACGCTACAGCTTTAGCGTTTAGTGCTGTTTCACAGCGATGTATGCCTTTCGATATGTTAACACCAATACCAAAGTTATTATTTAACATACGTTACTTAAAAGATACTGCATGTGCATAAATAATTTTTGTATTTATATATTGTTTGGTGCGGACTTCGGTGCAGTATTATTGTTTTGGTTTTGAATTATTATGTTATCTTTTATTATAAGACAAATTTTTGAAATTACTTCCCCAGAGCGAAATATAATAAGGGTTGAAATATCAGTGACTGCATTTCCATAGTTTACAACAAATGTGGCAAACCTGTCTTTCGTGAGTTGATGGGATGTAACGTGTGTTGCTTGCTAAAATGTTCAAAACGTCAGAGCAGTGGCGCGGACAACCATCAGAAATTGGTTGTTCGAATTCTTTACTGAATTTGTTTACCACTATTACCAGTAATTAAAGATATTATATTTCGCTTGTAATATCTGACAAATATAAAGATCTCTACATTTCTCTTATTGCTTATTTAGCTTTTCAATTTTAGATTGAAAGTAACTAGTTTTTAAACAAATTATAATATTTATAAACGAATATTTTTATTTTACGGTAACATTCTGTAATATACGAGTAATATATCTTATTTAATTATTTGAATGAATTCATATTTACAAGTGTAGGGCGCAAGATAATTGTAATGATTTTTGTATGATATGAATTGCTTGTAGGCATATCCATTGCTATTGCTTCTATTGTATATCATAATCATATCAGTCATTTCTTGATGCTAACATTCCCCTCTTTCAGAAAGAAATCAAATATTGTATATTTAGTACACGAAACATGTAAATGTAAACTGCAAAGTGGTGCTAGCAACAGCGATATTTATAATAAAGGTAGTTAAGTGTAAGAAATTTTATGTCCTACTATTTTCCTACGTAGCATTCAAGAACCTTGAGCAGTAAACAATGTTTTGTACAGAATAAGGTAAATACCTAGCCAAATTATACAACAGATTTACAAGTTGCAAATGGATCTTAAATAAAAGCAAAATGGAATGATTTAAACCAGTTTACTCTCACTAACACAACTTGTGATTTGTATGGTTATATAATATCATGCCTCACATGCATCATGTAATAATAAAGTATTTAATCAATCAAGGCTTGGCACGGTAGACGCCCCAGCTACATCAATATATTAGATAAGTGCCAAAATCATTTCATGGTCATGCTTTTATAATATTATAACACATAACTCACGCAGGTCGCAGCAATCAACGTTCCTCTCGAATAATGCAATTCTCTACTATAAATTTAAGTTATTATCATATAATAGTGTTAATATATCACTGAGCAACACACCAAATGCAAACCACATTAGACTGATATACATTCCTTCACAGCAAATGACATGACAGTATAGATATTCAGTACTGTGTATTGAGAAGCACAAAAGAAAGAAGTACTCATTATTTGTGTTCTCATAAGTATTTCATGGACTTTATATTGGAAAAATTTACGAAATTTTATAACGAAATTTTACTGTTGTGATTTATATGATTAGATTTGCCTAGGTAGGGACCCCAATTTTAAAGTTTTAAGTAAAATATGAACAAAAATTATAAAGAAGAACATATAGTTAAAAACAGGTGTCGAAAAATGTATATACAGAAATGCAAACAGTCGCAATTCATTGCATGTCAGTCATGGTGATTCATACAATTTTATAACTGCATTTAGCCATGATATGTTGATTGAGTAAATGAAAGAATAAATAAATTTATAAAAGACAAAACATTTTATTTTATCACACTATAAAATGAATTTTACAAAAATATAAACTATTCTTATACCATGCAGGAATAATGTTACCTATTTAAATATGTAACCACTTAGTAGAAAACCACTGGATCCATTCATAGTCACTTCAGGATGTGTCCTTTCGGGCAATACCTGAAAAGAAATAAGTTAATTTATACCCATTTCTGTTAATCACTGAAGCCTTTTATCCACCAGAAATTATTGGTAGTAGTGGGGTGTACCCTTTTTATTGCAAGTATTTAAAAGGATCCTCTATTACAACTAGGGGCATAGTAGTATACTAAGATAATAGAATAGCAGAACATTAATTTAAAAGTTTATGTTCCATGATATATGCCTACATATGGGAATCAATGTGATCATACAAGTAATACATGCCTTTGAATTGCTAACTTCCATTAAAATAAAAGGTAGAACTAAAACTGAACTTTAGCAACACTTTTCTAAGGATTTTGTTTAGTTATTTTTAATCTAATATATAAAATTCTCATGTCAAGGTGAGTGTGGTTGAACTCCTTCGAAATGGCCCCGACCCGATTTTCGTAAAATTTTGTGTGCATATTGAGTAGGTCTAAGAATCGGCCAACATCTATTTTTCATACCCCTAATATTTATTTATTTTGACAATTATTTTATTTTTATTAAATAATGTATATGGCAAAAACATTTGCCGGGTCAGCTAGTCTAAGTTATATTATTGTAACAAACCTGATAATTTCTTAACCAATTGCTGGTTAGTTTTAGACCAGCTACATTGCCTTTGGACTTAAGAGTACCATACAGCTGTTGTAAAGGTTCTGCTACACTATAGTAAATGACAAATGGTCGACTTGGTTTCACGAAGGACATCAACTCATCAAAAATATTTTGTGGATCTTCTTTACATGCTATTACCAAGGAGTCCATTTTGCCATGTAGTATCTCTGAAGCAGCAATGTTATCAAAATGCCATCTTGGCTTCTTATTCTCCCTAGCTTTGTCCACACCTGGAGTGGTTTTAGAGCTATCATTATCTGCGGTATCTTGACTTGTTTCCTGTTTTAGCCGCTTAGCTGTGTTATTTCCTATTTCTTCTTCTCTCTTTCTTTTTAATAGATTTTCTTCAGTAATCAATGCTTCATGATTATTAATATTATTAGTGTCACAGCCTTGATAATACTGTCTTAGTACAGAATAAACATTGACTGAAATGCATCTAGACATTTGTTCTTCAGAAAAGTTCATGGCTAACAAAGCCTGCTTTTGTGACATATTACCTGGATGCAAATGAACTAGTTTTCCATTTGTTTGACATCCAATAGCACTCAGTAATGCGGCAGCCATTAGACCATTTGATCCTGAGTCATACAACAAATGGTTGCCCTCAGAATGTATATTAGTGTGTGAGATAATTTGGGACAATGTATCTATACGAAGATTTTGAATTTTTCCTGCTTCTAATTTATACATCACCTCACAGATAATTCTTAAATTAGGTTTTAACACTTGAAAGTATTCAAAATACTTCTTTTCTTTTTTCTTTAAATATTTATCTTGTGAAAACTCAGTTTTGTTATGAAATGTTCTAGAATTACTAATTAACGTCTCAACTATATCAGAGGCTTTGTGTGAATCACTTTTTAAAGTGTCTATGTCTGCTGCAGTCAATTTTTGTGAGCTACCATCATCAATAATATTTCTATTATCATTCCCAGACACTTTAATATCTATTTCATCTTTTAAATTTACTGCTTCTTCTGCTAATTCTACAGTATACTCTCTATTTTTTTTGTTAGTTTTAGGAATTAATTTGAAAATTGAGAAATATGGGCACCCTTCAATTCCTTTTAAGTTTACAGTATCACGCCCTAAATTAATAGTTGAATCAGGTTTATTAAACTTATGTAATTTTCTGTAATTCTGCTTCTGAATAACTATATATTCACCAATTTTTACAGTTTCGCACATTTTGATAAATTTCTCTTAACAATCTTAGGGAGGTTAGTTTATTTTAAATTGAGTTTTCCAGTAATATTCAGCTAGAAACAAGGCGAGTACTGTTCAATATTATTATTCTACGTCGAAAAAAGGAAAAGTTTTCTCCATCAAATCCAAGAGTTTTCTTCTTCTTCTTCATAAATGGCAAACTGTGCCGATGTCGACAATTCTGCCAGTGTCAAGTGCGATGGAAATACGTGGGTTTTATTACACAAAAAATTGAATTGATGATATTAATTGTAGACTGAATGTGGGGCTTTTTGTTGTGGTTAGTATTTACACTGAAACAAGCAGACAAGTACAAATAGATAAGATATGTATTAAATAAATAAATAGGTAACTAATAAGGAAACAATCACAAAAAATAAAAATCCAATATTCATAGAAATGAAGGTCAAAGTCTGATGTCATTGGATCGGATAAACAACATCAAGACCTGGAGAAGGTGGGGGGAAGAAAATGTTAGGAGAGATGAGAAGTTGATAGGGATGGGGATTTTTAGTTCGGTAAGGTGAGAATAGAGATCTAGGGATGGGATATTTTTAGGACAACTGAAGAATATGTGATCTAGATTGCCTTCATCTAAGCCACATTCACATAAGGACGAATCCCGTACCCGAATCTTGTTCAGGAACACAGGTGAGCTGCAGTGACCTATGCGGAGCCTACATATGGTGGAGATGACAGGTTTACATACCTTCTTAAATTTGTAGAACCAGGGTTTTGGGGTAATGCTTGGTTGGATTGCGTAGTAGTGACGCCCTTTATGCTTTGAGGAATTATTCCACTCTTCCTGCCAGGATGTTAACAATTCTCTCTGAGGCAGTCTTAAGAGGTCGTAATGCTGGTGTGTAAGATGTTTCAGGTCCGACATTGCAGAAGTAGCAGCACTTTTGGCCAGTGAGTCTGCACACTCATTGCCCACAATGCCACTATGGCTGGGAACCCATACCAGTTGAACTATTTTTGAGTTGGTGGAACAATTCAAAAGGGTTTTTTTTATTTCTAGGATCAGCGGACTGTGAAGTTTACTACGAAAGGGATTTTGTAGCAGGGCTTTAAGGCAACTTAGAGAGTCAGTGAATATGACTGCCTTGTGGATGTTGTGCGAGTCAATGTACAAGCATGCCTCTAAGATAGCAACACACTCGCCTGTAAAAACTGAAGCCTCTTTTGGACACTTATACTGTAAGAGAATTCTGGAGTTTTGGAAGTACACAGCGGCTCCAGTGTAGCTATCATTATTAAGTTTGGATGCATCAGTAAAGAACCTCTCAAACCCATCCCAGTGTTCAGCTAAGTGTGTATTAAAGGTGGAAACAGAAGAGGCAGATTTCTTAGGGATTCCAACATCCAGAAGAACATTCGGCTTAAAACAAAGGACACTATAATTAAAGGAAAACAGAGGGAGTTTGTCAAATGACACAGCAGAGTTAAAAAAAGTAGAGTAGGAGCGAAAGGATTGTAGAATCAATGGAATTCCCTTATGAGTCCAGTAATTTGAGGTAGTACAAATGGAGTCTAATTCTAAGATTTTTGGAAGAAGAGGATGGGAAGATTTACAAACAGATTTTACTATAAAACGTGAAGCGAGAAATTGTCTTCTTATTGATAAAGGTGGATCTGAACATTCCACTTGTAAGGCATTTATAGGGGAGGACTTCATGCAACCAGTAACAATGCGAAGGCACCTAGATTGGACTTTGTCCAGCTTTGCCAAAGCGCTTTTATTGCATGGAATCAGTAAAAATAGCCCATAGTCCAATATACTGCGTACTAAGGCATTATATACCAGTTTCATGGTGTATGGGTGTGCTCCCCACCAGACCCCAGCTAGGGCCTTTAAAATTGGGATTACACGTTCACATTTTGCGGTTAAGTGGTTCATGTGGTGAACGCCAGTCAATTTAGAGTCAAGATATACTCCTAGGAACTTAAATTTGTTTAATAAAGGAATTTCCTGCAGCTGTACTTGGACATCAATCTGTGGCAGAGTCTTCTTTCGTGTAAAAATAACAACCGCACTTTTCTGAGCAGAAAGACTAAGGCCATGATCTGATAGCCACTGCCACAGAGAATTAAGGGAAATAGTGAGTGATGTGGCTGCCTCTTGGATGGAATGGTTCGAAACATATAATGCCAGATCGTCGGCATATTGAAGGATGCTACAATCATTGTTTAGGCATGAGCCCATGTCGGCAGTGTATAGATTGTACAACAACGGACTCAGTACAGAGCCCTGTGGTAAGCCCCTCCAGGTCTTTCTTTGGCCAAACTCTTCACCTAAGGTCCTTAGGACTAGAGTTCTGGACACAAGCATTGCGCATATGCAGTGGATCATCTTAACCGGAATTCTCAGCTGATGCAGTTTCTGCCTGAGAATGGGTATTAAGACATTGTCATATGCAGCAGATATGTCGAGAAAAGATGTTAGAACAGATGCATTTTGTGACAGAGAAAGACGGATATCAGTTATTAAAACTGCAACACTGTCCATTGTACTGAGCCCTTTGCGAAAGCCGAACTGATAGTTTGGCAGTAGATTCCTTGACTCTACAATCCATTCGAGACGGTTTTTGATGAGATGTTCTAATAATTTAATAAGGACTGATGAGAGGGCGATTGGTCTAAAGCTGTTTGGATCACCAGCATGTTTTCCTGGTTTTAGAATGGGGATAATAATTTGAACTTTCCATGTATCTGGGATCCAACCGTTAGAATAACAGAAATTCAAAATGTTTAAAAAATAAGTTTTTGTACTAGGCTTGGCCTGAACTATGAAAGAATATGGAATGCCGTCTATGCCAGGAGCCGAGTCTCGCACACTGTTGAGGACCATGTTCAGTTCTTCCAGAGAAAATGGGTCGTCATGGGTATCCACTGACTGAAACGGTAAGTCTGGTAAGGTCGCTTCATCGAGTTGTGGGACATACGGGGGGGCAATTCTGTCCAGGAAAAGCTCAGCTGTATTGGGGGAGATAGAGGAAGAGACAGAGGGCGAACAACCAGATCGGAACCGATTTATGTTCTTCCACACCATTGAGGATGGGGTGGATGGGGACAAGGAGGAACAAAATTTAACCCAACCGGCGCGCTTCTTGCGTCGAAGGAGTCTTTTGGTAGAGGCGAAAACGTTTTGGTAGGTGAGTAAATTATGGGTGGTCATATCGGCATTGTATCTCCTTTCGGACTCCTTCCTATACTTGACTGCCCTAGTACATTCACTGTCCCACCAAGGAGGTGACGGAATTTTGCCTTTGCTCGAGTTTTTAATTTTGAAGGAACTGTCTGCACTTGATCTGATTGCCTCTACGAACGCGTCACAACAGTCCATCACCAGGTAACGATCATCCTGGGTTAAGGGTCTAAGGTCTAGTCTGGGGAGAGCATTTACAGAGTTTTCGAGGGTTTGGGAGAAATTTTGCCAGTTAGCTTCTGAAAGGATATATTTTAAAAGGGGGGGGGGAAATTTTACCAAGTGGGTTGAAGTTGGGAGGGTTACTAAAATTGGATAATGATCGCTACCATGCGACAGATCGGTGCACTGCCAGCTAGCAGCTGCGGCGATGTCGAGTGAGCAAATAGTCAAATCCACACAGCTACTATTTTGACCAGGAAGAACTCTACGAGTGGAGCAGCCACTGTTAAGTACGCAGAGGCTCAGATCATCGAGGATCTCCACTAAACCTGAACCGAAAGAGTCGCAGTGTTCAGATCCCCATCTATAGTGATGGCAGTTAAAGTCTCCCATAACCAATATTGGGCCCTGTAGATCCTGTAAAATCGTTCTCAATGTAGGCAGGAAACTTTGATGGGGGTGAGCTATATAAATAGAGAGCACGGATATGTTACAGATCTTAGCTGCAACCACGCTGATATCCTCAAGGAATGGGGGCAAGGATAGGGGGACTAAGGGGATTTTAGTATTAATAAGGGGGGCAGCACCTCCATAGCCATCAGGCCTATCACATCTAAGAATATTGAAATGGGGGACATGGAAGTTGAGACTTGGTAAAAGCCAGGTCTCAGCGAGAGAAATAGCCAGAGGCTTGAATTTGTTCAACAGGAATATGAGGTCGTGTTTTTTATGGAATACACTCCTCACATTCCATTGTAGGAATATTTTGTGGGACGCCATTTTTGAAATTTGTTAAAATATTGATAAGTGGGACAGCAACGTTGGACGGTATAATAGACTGGGATAGAGATGAATTGGGGGATAATAGGGAGGTTAAGAGTTGTAACAGAAGATCAATAGTTGAGGATTCAAGGGATGAGTTATTCATAGCACAACCATTAGGTTGTGAAGGTTGGGGAGATTGAGTAATGGATTGGTGTGCGACTTTATCGTAGGAATGTGAGAGTGGGGATCGAGGTTTAGGTTGGCGAACCACAGTTTTTTTTGTAGGACTGTGTGTGCTGGAGGGATTGGGTAGGCTGAGTGGATTGAGAAGGTTGAGGGAGTTGGTTGATTTGTGGAGCTTTTAGGATGTCAGCGTATCGGCGTGTTGGAGAGGGAACAACCTTGCTTGCTTCCATGTAGGATATGTTCCTTTCCGCCATCATGGTCTTAATAGCTGTCTGTCTACCATACTCCGGGCAAGCCTTGCTATAAGCAAAGTGGTCACCGGAGCACAGCACACAAAAGGCCTCTCTTTCTGATACCTCACAACCATTACCAGGATGTTCGTGGCCACACTTGCTGCATCTTGGTTTGGACCTGCAGATGGACTCCACATGGCCAAACCTGCAGCATTTCCTACACTGTACGGTTGGGTAAATATATTGTTGAACAGGAAGCGAGTTGTAACAACAGTATACTCTTTTAGGCAGAACCTGGCCATCAAAAGTGAGGACACAGGTTTCCGTAGGTTTCCACTCCAATAGACCTTCAGTAAAACATTTCCTATTAAGGCGCCTGACTTTAATTATTGGGCCACAACCCTGCGGCACTGTAACAAATTTAATGA